GATGGTGAATTAAAGAACAGTGCACGGAAATGACAAAAATAGACTAGCCGTCATAGCATGGGGCAAGGGGATATAAGTCGTGAGGAAGAACACGGAAGTTTCCACGAGAACAACCAGCATCATGCATGGCACAAAGGATATGTAATTAAAGAGACGAGTGGCGTAGTCAGGCAAAATAGACGTAGGCGGTCATACGCATGGAAGGGCTTACAGTGAAACGGAAAAAGAAAAGAAAGAAAAGGAGTCTAAGAAAGGGAATACCTTAGGCGGAGAAAACAGCATAATTAGCATGGTCACGAAGCATAATGTGACTGTAGTAAACTGGAACGTGACAGGGCACGGGAGGTGATGACGGCCAATGCAAAAATAACTAGCGTCATAGCCATGGAGAGGTATAATGTCTGCCAAAGAAAAGGAAGTCTGAGAACAACTAAGCATCATTAGCTGCGTTAAGTCGGGGGTCAATAGACGTGAGAATTACGTAGAACGGGTGGCACGGGCTAGGTTTGCAGTCATGAAGATCCTTAATAAGCGTCATAGCCATGGGCGCAAGCGGTTGGTATGACATGTCTCAGGTGAAAGACACAACTTAGCAGAATGTCTGGGGCCGGGAACAGTGGCAGAACAACTGCGCATATAGCACTGGCGTGAATGCGCGAGGTAACGCACGAGAAAGAGGTAATGTGCAAGGAACGACGACGAATGGCAAGTAGAAATAACGTCGCGCGGCGGTCTGTCGGGTATAGCGGGGAGAATGGACGGTGAATTTGTGAACAACAGATGCAAAAATGAACTAGGTGCATCAGCATGGAAGGCGTAGGTAATGTGCGGAACGACACACCAGGCAAGGTGGAGCATACAGAGGCGATCATAGCAGCGGGGCCGCGCTGGAAGCCGGGGTAATGATGACAAGAACACGGCCTACATTGGCAAAAATAGACTCGCGTCCGATGTGTCTTGGGGTGGATGGCGACGCGACGTCACTAATGCAGAGGCAGCGGAACATACACGGGGGTTACGTTAAAGAATCAGTGCAAAGACAGAATAGACTCAGCGTCATTAGACATGGCGTGTGCCAAAGCATGGTGGACAGCGCGTGGGTAGGTGGCGCTGACTGACGGTTATCACTGGGGGAGGGTAGGTGTGAGTGCTTATGGTATATTATATAGTCGCTGAGGGGGGTGATATATATAGTTGTGTAGCTAACTAACTGAACATTTGTATATAAGTTGAGAGGGTTTTCAGGCTCTGTTTGAAAGGTTGAAGAGCCAGCACGAAAATACCACAGTCGAAGAGGCTAAGTCTTTTCATGATTGCGGTAACAATCACTTAGCATGGTTCTTAACCTTAACATTTGTTTGGGAAAGATGGGCATCAGAATAGATACACCAAAATCTTGGAAGAACACCATGGCGGTCCCGGACTCTCGGTTTTATGAAGTGGGCAGATCGAAGCAGCACCTTATTTTAGGGGATGTGGTACGAGCCTTTAGTATCAACGACGTGTATAGGTATTATCAGAGCTAATTATATTACCTGAGTGTACAATACGAGAAAAAACGAAGAGAAAAATAGTGCTACTCGGGTATTCACGGAGCAATTATTGGTTCTTTGCCGTTATGCGATAGAGTTCTTATAATAATTTCATGGCTATGCACTTAAAGCAGAATATTATTTCTTTGTCTCTCTGGAAACAAGACCATAGGCTTGTCATACGATACTCCCTCTAGGCGGAGTATCGCGCTGCTGTGAAACTCCCTCCAACATGCAAAGAAGTCACGTTCGCATCACTTCCTGTCCCAATCTTCCGCCTCTGAAGCGCTTGATTCAGTGAGAGTTTCTTTTTGTTTTCCGCATTAATTTTATGAATGGCATCTTTCGGGTGCAGGTGCAAGGGTGGAGTGACTGGTTTTCGGGGATCGCCTCATGCCCTTATTTTCTTCTCCACATATTATTTTCATAGCACGGGCTAATTGCCTTGGTTTCGATGATTGGCAGTTACGCATGTTTTTTAATTAAGAGTCTTTCTACAAGCAGCTTAGGGTAAGATTAGTTTTACAAATTTGAAGACTGTTTACTCAATTATCAGCGTCTTTCTAAGTGCTTGAATGAGATGATTCGTGAAATTCCGCATAGTCCGAAATGCTTAGAGGCTTTTTGAAGGAAGACGATTGAAGATGTGTGTGGCAGAAGTGATTTGAGAGGAACAACCAGCGATACAGGCAATGGTAGGCGGCGGTTTGGCATTGTGGCGAGGGACGTAAGGGGGAGGTTCTAGGAGCCAGATATTTATACTTTTGATCGGTCCATCTAGGTTTATGGAAGGTATGCAGTCATGATGACAACTGACGGGGATACTCGGTTCTTGTGTTTTTGAGGAGCAAAAATGAATTCTGGTCTATTAGTGCAATTCCATGGGGAAATGGTTTATAAGACTCGCAGGCAAGAGTCGGTAAGTATGATTGTCGTGAAATTAGAACATATTTAACGCCGTTTTTCAGTTGTAACTTACGGTTTATTAAGCTGCTTGGTCATGATCACGGTTGCGTTGAATAACGACAAATTTGTCATTGTCAAAATTTGACAAATTGACAAAATTGGACGAATTTATTAAAAGAGATTAAAATTTACAAAATTGAATTATTGAGATGGTGAATAATATACAATATATATATATTTGTATTAATTTACTATATAGGATCTATATATATGTTTGCCTGTAATAGTTTGCAGTAGACACGTTGCGTATTTGACCCGCAGGGCGTCATTTCGGTTCTCGCAGCTGAGGGACGCAAAGCAGCAAGCAGGAGGGTCGAGTTCAAGGTTTTCCGGCGGTCGGACATACGCGGCGTGACGTTTCAGGGTGTTTCAGACAGTCGAAGGAGCCCAGCAACGTCAAGGGTCAAGGTCCGCGTTCGTTCGAGCCTTGACGGAGGGTCACGAGGGAGGAGAGTACAACTGTGGGAAGGGCAGACAAGGAGCCGGAACACGCAGAGCACTCCACTTTCGTTGATGATGTGAGAAGGAGCGGCGACATTAGCTCAGGTTGAGAAGAGGTGTGCCACAGTGCGGGGACAGTTAGCAGCATTGAGGGACGGGAAGCGCCGCCGCCAGGGTGAGAGGTGGGGCGGAGGCGGCGAGTTGGGGGGGTGGGGAGAGAGCGTTTTTGAGTATGTGAGAAAATGGATGTTTTATTGATGAATTGAGAGAGAATCTTTAGTTTATGTAGAATTGTCTATCTGATTTTGTGGGGGAGAGGTTACGTGTTCGTCACAGTTCTCTTTTTTACCTGGGAGGACGCCTGAGCCCAGACGTTTCTCGAATACTATGTATGAGAACTATCCCCCGAGATAAGCCGACCGAGGATAAACCTGCGGGATATTGCAGTTTTCCCGCGATATGGGTTGATCTCGCCTGACTTTTTAATGACGCAATGATTTTCCTTTAATTACAAGGTTGCTTGTCAGGTTTTTGGGCGATAGATATCATTGAAAATTTTAAAATTTAATGAAATAAAAAATAATAAAAATAAATATAAATTTTAAAAAATGAAAAAAATATCCGAGAAAAAGGTTCTATCACCAGTATGAGGCTTGAGATGGGGTATAGTCTCACCTTCATATATAGATATCAGACGGATATCTATAACTCGGGGTGATATATCCCAGTCTCAAGCTCATCACTGCAAAGAAATAGGGAAACCTAGATAGACCGGGCCCCCGACTCGAGCGGTGGAGGGACGCGAATGGCGTTCCCAAGTCTCGTGGTGCAAAGGGGTATTTTACATCGCGCGACAAAATCGGCCCAAGAATTGGTAAAAAGAAGGGGGTGTATTTGATTTGTCACCGGGGATTCTTTAAAAAGGGGGGGTGGTTTATTCCTCGTCTCTCTATTTCATCTTGAATTTTATAGAAACTTTATCAAATCCGGGAGATCAAATTCTGAAATTGTGCTTAGTTTTGAAGCTCATTCAGGGATTATTTCATTTTGAAAGTAAAAATATGTGCTTCATTAGGTTTTCGCCCTCCGATCAACTGAAAATCTACGACTACGTTCAAGTGTAGAAGGTAACCTGTCGGACAGTTCACATGCTACGGGACTAAGTCCTACGTTCAGGGGATGGCTGTAGCGAAGGTAGTACAGGTGAGGTGCTGGTGAAACGATGAGGCTCACTTGCGGGATGGGGTTACATTGGGAGCGAGTGTTCGCGCAATTTAGGGGCGTCGCAAAGGCAGGAAAAACCCGGCTAAAAGCCCGCGAAAGGGGGTGTTCAGAAAAATTTTAGCCAGTCTTGAGATAGGGGGTGCTTTCAAAAGGAGGGAACGAGATATGCGTTATCTAAATGAACCTGAAGTGAGCGGGGGGGGGGGGGAGATAGACTATTGTAAATTGACATGGTCGTGACGATGTTTCTGGTGAAGTAGAAATTTGCTAAATTTTGTTGTATTGTTTTTACTATTAAAGTAAGAACTAAACGTATCGTAAAATTCTTACCTGATAAGATTGTTTCTCAACTAGTTAAAAATCCAAAAAAATCTGGACAATTTGTTATTAGTGTTCCTGACATTAATTGCTTGCTATGGGCTATGCATGCGTCACGAATGTATGTTCACATCGAACAATATAGTAAAATAAGAAGTATAATGCAGCAATTTAACCATAAAAAGTGAACAATCCTACTTATATTTTGTGGAAAAGTGGAATTTAAACAAAAAAATTTACTATTTACGGTGACGTAATCACTTTAATCCCACACATGTGTACACACGTACATGCACTGTATGTTACACTGTGTCTCACACGTCGGTGTCAGGCATGAGAATTTTTCTTCGGATTTCCAGGTTTTGGTTTTCATTTTAGTCATTCTTGAGATTGATGCAAAAAAAACTAATAAAAAGCTTAGGTGGGTAATGCATACTTTTTTTGTCAAAATGGACGCCATTTTTAATTTAAACTTCATAAAAAGTCAGGAAAAGTACGTAAAATTTTACACAGAAGTAACAGAACGCCAGATAAATATCGCGGTGTATCCATGAAGCCATGCTTTAAGTTAACCGCCACATAAAACATTGAAATTTTCATAGAAAATGACAAGACGTGAATTGGCAGTCACGAAATTAGTCTTTACTAAGAACGGAATTGACTTACAATTTTCCCCAGAATGCATGGAAATGGCCTGTCTGCCCTTCCAAATTTAAAAAATTTTCTTGGCGGGGGAACCCCAGACCCACCTAGCAGGACAGTGTGTGCTACGCACATGCACAGAATTGAAATATTTCCTCCAAAAACATTCCAACCTGTTCTCATGTTCTCATGCCTGAGGTGCACATGTATTGTTGACTGTATGTCACTTTGTATCTAACGCGTATGCATACATGTACTGTGACTGTACACCACGCTGTATCTCACACGTAGGTGTACGTGTACTGTGACTGTACGCCACGCTGTA